CACCACTAATTTCATTTTAATCATGGAAAAATGTGGATTTTAGGTTACTTTTTTAAATCCAAAAATTGGGGATTTTTGTTTAATCAGAGAAAGCCAGGATCCCTGTTCATGACTCTTTGAACTAGTTAGTCTCTAAGGTGCCACCCTGCCCTAAGTTCTGTCATCTCTCTGGATGTAAAACTGGACATGATTGTCTATGGTCTTGTCAGCTCCAGGTAGGTTTCTGGGACTGCACAGTCTTCAAAGTGCCCAAATCTGAGTAATTTTCAAGCAAGTGGGACCATTGTGGCCACTTAGGCTGACCTCCTATATAACATGAGCCATAGATTTTCACTCAGGATTTCCTGCATTATGCCTAGCAACCTGGGAGAAATGAACCCTGCACAGAGGCGGCAGTGAAGATGCCTTGAGGGCCATTCTGCTGCTTCTCTGAAGCCTGCTGCAGAGAACTGGACAGTGGACAGTAGCAGAGAAGGGTTATTATCAGGTTTGGGCACATGTCAAGTGGGATTGGGGTAGGAGGGCTGCTCAAGAGTGACACTCCGGAGAATGCCAGACAAGAGGTGCAGCCACGCTCTGTGTGAGACTTGACCCATGTCATTGAGCAGAACTGCAATCCAGAGAACAGAGCCTAGATTTCCTGAGCCCCAGTCTGGGGCTGCATTGCCTGGACCTGGCTTATTTTGTATTCCAGTGTCCCCTTTTCTCTGGCAAGGTTCTTTGAGTAGATGTGATATCTTTTATTAGAGCAACTGAATAGTCAGAAAGAAGTTCTTAGCAAGCTTTTGGGAACAGTCACCCTTCACAATCAGGCATAGGGAGTCTGCTGGTCTGAGACTCCAAGGAATGTGAGAAACTAAAAGTGTGGTAGGATGTCAGCGAAAATGTAAATAGGTAGAGATAAGCAAGACAAGAGGTAAAGAAGGGGAGGGGAGGGGGAAGAGAGCAGGGGGAAAGAGAGAAAAAAAGGTCAGAGGGAGACAACAGTGATAAGTTTAGCACTGTTGCAGACTCTGAATTGATCTCCTGGAAGGATATAGCTGCCCCCTCCAATGCAGAGAGGAATCCTTTGAGAGCCATTAGACTGACTTTAGAAGATGCACATCTCTGAACTGCCCCAACAACCATCTTACTATAGCTCAGATCAACTCTGGTTGTTGCTAGTATGGTTCGTGTCCGTCGTGCAGCAGCCTCTTTTGAGAAAGTCCATGTCATCAAGTGAGATACTGAATGTGTCATCAAGAAAGCATATGCTAAAAAAATCAATTCATCTGCAGAAGTTTATGCCATTAAAAAAGATACTAGATGCATGATGAGTGACAGCTTTTACAGTTTTGTGTATGTACACACACGTTTTGCCCATTGTTTCAAAAATTCCATCTCCCTTCTGGTATGATTATTCTTGTCTATTTGTAATCTGTGTGTGTTGACGTGCATGGAATTATTACTATGAAAATGTGCATTCTTGTTAATAGGTATAGTTTGAAATGATTGTTAGCAGAGCATAAGGCCTTATTGATTGAAAGTGACATATGGCAAGGATGTATAATGATTCACTTTGGCTGCTAGTTTGAAATCCTATTCATGGGGGGGAGAAAAAAAAACACAGCCCTCTCCTTTGCAGTCAGGTTTCAGTCTTTCTGCAGTGTATTTTTCAAACCAAACCATTTTACAAGTGATCCATAGAAGAGATTTCCTGCTCTCATGGGTGTGTTCTCAAAGCTCTTTTCAACTCTACAAGGGCAGGTCACACCAACAAAAGCTGAAATTATTACAGGCCTCCCTTCAGTGAAAGGTTGCCCATGTTGTGACTCTCTTTCCTAGAACTCTTTTAAGTGAATTTAGTGTTTATGTAAGGTAGCAGACAGACAGCCCTTGGAAACTCAACTGCGGTGTAGCCACAGGATAGGTACCGCATCAACAATGAAAGATGAGTTTCCCAACTTCAGGCTTAAATGCTTCCTGATGCTTCTAAAAAAGATGCCTCGTCCATTTTTTAAGATGTGGAATCCACGTAGACTTAGACTACAAACTCCTCTGATCTTGTAACAGCCCTGTGGGAACCATTTGGTGCAATGTTTTACTGATCACAAATGTGGTCTTGCATCTGAAAGACACCACCTCCAGCATGCCCCCAATGTTGAATATGTGTATTCGTTTGGCACTAAACTCTGCTCCTTGGAGAAGGAGGGGGGAAAGAAAAAACATGTTCTTACTTTGTGATAGCTAACATTACATAAGCAAAACTAGGGCTAGGGCAAATGGCTGTATTTTTAGTATCTAACAATGATTGTTTGAGATCCTAAAGGAAGGAAGGAAGACAAGAGAATAAAGATGCTGGACTTCAGAAGAGTATATTTTAACAAACTCAGGGAACTGGTGAGCAGGATCTCCTGGGAAGCAAGTTGAACGGGAAAATGAGTCCAGAAGAACTGGCTGCATTACAGGAGATTGTATTCAGGGCACAGGAGCAAGCTATCCTCATGTGACAGAAGAATGGGAAGTGCAACAAGAGATTGGTCTGGCTCCGTAGTGATCTCCTCAATGAGCTGAAACTGAAAAAGGAATCCTACAGAAAGTGGAACCATGGTCATATTACAAGCAAGATCATAAAAGGATCGTGTGGGCACACTGGGAGAAAATCAGGAAGACCAAACTGTGGTTTGAAATGCAACTGGAAAATTTTAATGCGGCCCCTACCCTGTTACTAGAATTAGAAAGGAATGTAGAGGTGCCTGATGACCCCTTTTCTTCTCTTTCACCTTTTGCTCCTGGTTTGCAAGGTGTCCCTTTTCCTGGTTTCTGCTGTCCCTCATTCCAGCCCCCATCAGCCTTGTCTCCTGCTCCCATTCTTCTACTTGCACCTTCTTTGTGTTGCTAGAAGCAAACCCACAGGCAGAGAAGACTGAAACAAGATGGCCACTGGCCACTGAGTGGGCTAATGAAAATAGGATGGGTTTCAATACTGACAAGTGCAGGGTGCTGCACTTGGGCAGCAGGAACCAGCAATACACTTACAAGCTGGGAAACTCCCTTCTCGAGAGCACGGTGGCAGAAAGAGATCTTGGAGTCATTACTGACTCCAAGATGAACATGGGCCAACAATGTGAGGTCACCGTCAGTAGGGCTAACCGGACCTTGTCGTGCATCCAAAGGTGCATCTCAAGCAGAGCCAAGGAGGTGATCCTCCCCCTCT